CCCCTGCCGAAGCAGGGTCACCTACAGCAGGCTGCACAGGACCTTGTCCAGGCAGGTCTTGAATATCTCCAGAGAAGGAGACTCTGCAACATCCCTGGGCAGCCTGTTCCAGGGCTCCGTCACCCTCAGAGGGAAGAAGTTCTTCCTCATGTTCAGATGGAAAAGAAAAACGTCCAGAGGAGAAAAAACTGAAGCCGCCTATGACAAGGTGCTCTCACAGTGTCAACCCTAGTTGTCCATTTAAATTCTCCACAGGTAAATGCTACTGCAGTAACACAGGCATTAAACAAAAAAAAGGGGGACACACACACACATATCTGTGCTCTTGCCACTCTGACCAGTAGTGGCTGGATGACAAGCAAGAGATATCTTCCACCAGCTGAGTCCACGCATGCAGCAGAGCAGCCGTGAGCTGGACACCCCAGAACCGCTGCGGACACATTTCCAGCTGTCCACAGTAACCTCTGGCAGAGGGGGGATGTGGAAGGGATGGAGGCAAAGCAGCTCGCCAGGGTGGCCTCAAACACTACTGTCCACATCTTTCTCTCAGAGGTAGCTATCCCCAGAGCTGGGACAGCAGGGGATGAGCAAGGTGTCTACTTCTATTCAGACCAGCATCTTCGCACTCACCCGGAGTGAAGGAACAAATGTACAAAGAACCCAGGTCCTGAGCAACGACTAACACCCAGGTACGTTTCTGGCACCCCTAGCAGGAGGCCATTTCAGGGAGATGTCTTGGCTATGTGTTCATCTTGCCCACTGTCTACCATCTGCACCAATCTCATCACAACTGAAAAGCTTGGCCCAGCTGCATCTGTACAACCATCCTATATCATCATCCTTGGTAGCAACGCAAATGAGTTGGCCTAAGCCAAATGCAAATCACTTGCTTCTGCCTGAATATGTTTTTAGATTGCTTAACTGTTGCACTTGGCAAAGAGAAAAAGAGATTTTTTTTTATTTTTAATCCAAGCTCACAGAGCTGAAGTGTCATCTCCCTCAGAAATTTTAAGTCTGATGAAAGCGTGCCCTGCAAATTTCTCCTAGCTCCTTACAAAGGAAATCAGTCACTTTTGCAGGCTTGGGTTTTTTTTCCCTCCTGAACTTGAGCAAGCCAGTCACAACCTTACACCGTTATGAAGTTGCAGTGGGCTGTTTCGAAGCCAGAGGGAGCGGAAGTTGACCAGCACATGGTCATGATGCGGCAGGGACACCAAACCAGCTGCCACAAAGAATTCTATAGATACACGTGGGGCGAGAGGTAAAGAAGAAATACTATTTGCCAGCAACAAAGCAGCAAGACCACTGGGAGGGAGGTCATTAGTCTATGACAAAGAAGCAATATAAATCATAGTTATGATAGCTTAAAAAAAAATGGAAAAAATAAACAATTCTTTGTTCTTTCAACAAGCTCTGATTTCACTTTCTACAACAGGCTGATTGAAATAGCAATCTGATCTGTCCAAAAAGAGCCCAAGACAACTGGGTATTATACAAATAGACACATAATATAAAAAACCAAAACAAAACAAACAAAACCCCCCCAAAACAAAACAAAATCCAAAACACTAAAGGTACTTACCTTTTTGTCGGGTTTTGGTGAATTACATATGGAGTTCAGAGCCTGTTTCTTATACTCCAGCTTGTCATTTAGCTGGCGAAGTTTATTTACAGCATAACTGGCCTGATCATTAATTCTTGTGCTGCATTCTTCAGTAGCTTCTTCACAACCTTGGCTCTAGGAATAGAGGAGTAACTGCATCATTAGTATGAAAAAGGAGACAGTTATTGTTTGCTCCATAAGCATTTTATGTATAAGAACACTTACCCTTGATATAGACAAGAATGTAGGTATAACAGATTCTAACAGAAATTCTAACCATCAGATCCAAAATGAAACAAAAAGTCTGTCCACTAAAAACCCCACGGACAAAGCCTCACTACCATCTAACCACAGCTCTTTGACAACTCCTGCCAACTGTGTAAAATGACCTTCAAGCTAAGGCTTAATGTAAACGAGAGGAAGAATCAAAGTTTATTTCAAAAGCAACAACAGCTTAGTAGTCATGATCAATATTCCGAGCCAGATAGAAAAGCAAATACTTAGGTCTGAGCTGAAAGATCACCAGACAGGGGAGGGGAGCAAAACCAAAAACGCCACAGTTCTAACAAACAGGCCTGTCTCCCACAGACCTTCACAAAACAGATTTATCAGCCTGCGGAACATCTAAACCAAGCTCTTTCTCTTTGTAAACAGATTTTGCTGCTGTTTTTAGAAGTGTTAATAAAAACATGTTAAAAGCACATACGCATTACCCTAAACTCACAAATCATCTTCTTGTATTCATTCAGACAAACCAATAGCTTTTCCAGCTTGGGTACTACAGCCATGCAAAAAAAATGGAAAACTTCACACCTTTGAGTGACTTCAACATCTTTTGGCATTTGCCTCAGCCTCCCCTTTCTTACTGTACATCCCCAAACAGGCATGAAGACCTTGAGACCCAGCAAATGCAGTACTGTGGTGCTACCGTTGTCGTGTTCAGAGACCTTTGACATCTGCTTATGACTGAATACATCTTAATTTATCTGTGGGAAGCTATAAATTAAATCTCATGAATGAGAGTTCTGTGTTATTTAATGATATTCCTTACTAAGGAAGTTGTATCTTTATATAATTAACAAAAAGCTAACAGAAGGAAGTCTCATACTCTACTGAACTCCGTGAGTTTTAGAGACAACTCTACTGTAAATTCTGCAGTATTTTACACCCTAGTAAAAAAGTCTGAGATACAGTAGTAACAATAATTAATCTCCTTAGTATGATCTTCACAAGGGAGGGCAGCGCAGAAGTCAGGAGTTCTAGGCTAAGAAATCCATGCCCTTTTCCAGCTCTGCATTTGCCTGCTACGTGGCTGAGTAAACAACATTAGCTCTACGCCCCGTCCTTTCTTCTGACTGTTCTGCATGGACTGTAAACTCCTCAGGTCAGAGACTGCCTTGAAGCATGCGTACAGAGCCCAGCTCATGGAAGCCTGCTGTCATCTCCTGGCACTACAATAATACAAATAATAATAATTAACAACACTTTACTCAAAACACTATTGAACAGAACCATAAAAAAAAAAAAAAGCCAAACGGAAACCAAAACAACCCCAACCTGTACTTGCTGGGAAGCACAGAGGTCAAAAAGAATAAAAAATGCTATTTTCAGCACTGAAGAATTAAAAGACTTTTCATGTGGAGTTTAGTTCTAGTAATCAAAGGATTGCAATTAACCACAAATCAGTAAGACTCTGCTCCCAGAGGCAGGCTACATGATTTCTCTCGTTAACATTTCAGACACTTACAGCAGAAAATACTACTGAATCACTAGGTTTATCACAAAAGTGCTAGAATTGCAAGATAACAAGTTAGCTCTATTCAAATTACCAAGTTTATCAAATAACCAAGCAACACACTGGAAGCTGAGGTAATACGGGATTGTGCTCTGCTCCCGATGGCTACACGGACAGCGACTCCCACTTCTGCGCGTGCCGCACAACGCAAGCTTGGGGCTTACTTTCGCAACCTGACACACGCAGCACCGACGCAACCACCAGACCCTCTTTCTTCAAAGTACTCAATGCAGGCACTGCTCCCTTCTGCATTTTCACACCTACTCTTCACCTTTTAAAGAAGGTTTGTCCAAGGAGAAAAAAAGTGAAGACTGAACAGAAAGAAGAACAAGCTTGTTCCATGTGCAGCAGAACCAGCAGAGTCTGGCCTTGCCCCGGTTCATATCTTCTGATTTGCTTTTCTCATGTTTAACCAGGGCGCTCTCTTTCGTCGTCCCCTCCATGGGGACACTAGATGGCTTTTTACCTATCCAGCTACAACAGTGACATTTACAGAAAATTAATGTAGGTAACTCCGACAGTGCCCCAACAAGTGAGGACACAGACCTCCAAAACTCGAACTAAAATGAAAACAATTAGTATCTGCTAACAATACGGATCCCTCCAGAAACATCAGATTTCTCAGTTGTGGTGTCCTATACACGGGGAGGAAAAAAACCAAACCTATTAACTAGCAGTGCATTTTCACCAACATTTGAAAGCCTACTGGAACCTTCAGGAAGAAAAATTTCTTATGATTTATTTTCACCTCAAAAACGCTGAAGCATGGCACACAGACATTGGGATTGCTCTGTTCCAGAGATGCTCTAACAGCATATGCAACTTCATAACTTTATTTGTTGTTGAAAATATAAAAAAGCTTTAACCATATAAGAAAATTTGGCAATATATTAGTCTTTAAAGTTTCACAGCAGACATAGCCTTCAAATTCTGGCACATATACATCCAAGGACTCAGAGGAAGGACAGATAATGCTGATGTCAATCTAATTTTTCAGCAGCTATAGCAAATGTTATCTGACATAGGACAGCTAGCCCTGAAGTGTTGCGTCAGTTTTCTTAGAGAAACAGCTATCTCTGTTAGACTCTGAATAAAATATATATAGAGATTAAAAAGCACAACGTTTAATACTTAATTCTGGCCAAAACCAGTAACAGTCTTTTCTCAAAGTCCCAACCATTGTAAACACAAGGACAGAAAGTCTTTGAAGTACCTACCACCCTCAACACACAGCTGAGTTAGCAGCAAGGAAAGTAGAAAACTTGTCTTGAATCTTTTATCAAGCAAAAGAATATAGGAGGAAACAAATAATTAAAAATTAAGCAAGCTCTAAAAGTTCATAGTGGAAATAATTTACTTCTAACAGCTCATCTCTGCAGATTTGCTGCGATGCGGACTAGGGAGACTGTAATAGCTCACCTACAAAAATGAAAGTTGTATTTAAGCAGTAAATACAAAAGCCATAGGTTCTGGAAAATTTGTTCCTAAATAGCAGAAAGTAGATCAGCACCTCTGGATTCTGCTTCTCATTTGTCCATTTAGACCCAGCTTTAGACAAACTATTACACTTCACTGTGTTCTGAGCAAGTTCACATGTAAAAGGAAGATATTCGTGCTGACCTGAAGCGACAGCCTGACCGAAAGATGCTCTCTAGTCTGAGAGATGCTCTTGTCAAAATGTTCCTAGATAAACGTAGCACAAGTTCCCCTGACACGACCGATTTAGAGAACCCACTGAAAAAACGCGGCCCAGGAGAGCTACCAGTGGGTTATTGCTTTTGACATTCCGAATGCTCTGCTTTTGTGTTTCCAGTTCTAGTGCTATTATAATCAGTTTTATCTTCTAATACAGGTTATTATTACATTCAATAAATTAATTAAAAAGCACTAACGTATTTTTTATTACTTTTTTTCCTCTTTTGTGCAACCTCTAATACCTATTTAGTACCTAGGGAACGCACGGTGGACAGGGATAGACAACATCTAGACAGAAACCTACTGATGTTTCAGTGAGATTTCCTTCACACAAAAGCACAGCAGCTGAGCTTGTATGAAGTGCGTTTTGCATTCTCTGATACCAAGGAGCATAATGAAAGGCCTGGAAATCTGAAATCTAACTAATTTAAGTAGTCATTTGGTACCACCTTGTTTCAGCTTGAACCAGGTTTACCCGATGAAACTACAAGAGTGATGATATTTACAAATACATCAGGGAAAAAAAAAAAGAAAGTAGTCTAAAGCTCAAGGTCAGAAGACACCACTATATGCTTTATTCAGGATGGTCTTCTGATCACTTTAAATAACTGTGAAAAAGATTGTCCTGTGACTCACCACTTCATCTTTGTCCTCAGGAGTTAGCTGAGCAGAACTTCTTTCTTCTTCCTTCTTGACTGATCTCTCATATAAATCACTGACAATGAACGAGGGGTAGTATCTGTCCTTTAGAGTTTCGTAAACATCTGCCTGAATTCTGTAGAATACTTCAATGCCTTTATTTCCCACAAGACTTTGCTGTATTTCTTTATAAAGGGATTTTTCCACAGGTATTTCCCTGCTTTCCACAAAAAAATTCTGATAAATTTCGCTCACCAGTTGAGGTATTTCAGCCTAGGAAGAAAGGAGGGAGAGGGAAGGAGAAGAGGATAATAAAAAATGTTTAAAAGATCAGGATGACTCAGGATCCAGGTGCATAATTTGAAGGATGATCAAGCTAATTTCACACCCAGATGTACGAGAACACATCTGTGAATCTCTTACTGAGATCCAGCGCTCTGCCTGCGCATCTATGCTACGCTGTCAATTACACAGGATGAACATCGCTATCTCCTACGTGAAGAAACAGCTGTGCTCTAAAATTACCATAGCTTCCACATCCACTGCTTTGAAAAGTATGCTCCAAAAGCTGGTATTAAAAGGGAAAATAAAAAAATACTAGAGCAACACTGTGGCCACCATTTTAAGTTCAGATTGTAGAGTTCAGCTGTATTGGCTCTCCTATTTTCTGCTGTGTAGTATCAACTCACTTCATATGTGACTAGAATCGGGGGGGGAAAGAAGGAAAATCACACCTGAAGAGACATTTACCAGTACATGAGGCCAGGTATTTCCACTGAGCACAGAACAGCGCACAGGGTTGAACTTTGCAGTAATGAGCAGGAAAGAGAGGAAGTAATGCAGCACAGCCCGTGATCATCTCTCTAAACTACCATCTCTCTCAACTGACTCCAATTAAAAGTTTTTATCTACTCCTTCAGTACGGCACAACGTGCTCGCCTGTCTCATGTGACAATACCACAGCCACATGGCTGCAGGACGCTACTTTTTTGTAACCAAAGCTGCCCTTGTAGTGGCAGACAACCCTCACGTTCCATGGAGCAACAAGAGCAGAGTAAGCTAGAATCTCTTAAAAAAAAAAAAACTGACTCCAATTAAAAGTTTTTATCTACTCCTTCAGTACGGCACAACGTGCTCGCCTGTCTCATGTGACAATACCACAGCCACATGGCTGCAGGACGCTACTTTTTTGTAACCAAAGCTGCCCTTGTAGTGGCAGACAACCCTCACGTTCCATGGAGCAACAAGAGCAGAGTAAGCTAGAATCTCTTAAAAAAAAAAAAGGGAAGTCTTGAATAAAGGCACTATATGTATTGTTTTGAAAGCAAAGAGAGAAATCACAGCTGAAAGGTCACAAAATGATTTATAGCACCTCTTCCAGTCACATGCAGTTTGCAAATCAAAACCAATTCATACAACTCTCCTCACAGTGCCTGACAAACCCTTTTTATCAACACTTCCGAGCCCGAGTTGGTTGTCAGCCATTTCTTCAGATTGTATTAATGGCTCACTACTCGCACTCCGCAATTTGCCACAATGGACTAGAATCTTTTTTCATAAAAGAGTAACAAAATTACAGCGAATACACAGTTCACTGATACATAATAATGAATTTCATATTTAATGCTAGTGAGAACCCTGGAGATTTAAAACAGTTTCCCCAAAAAAATCCACCCCGCTGCTCAAATAGCAAGTACATCCTCTACATTCTTGCTCTGCACCATTGCTCCAGGATACTTCCTGAAACTTTAAGTGATATTTCCTATCTTTGTTTCAGGGTTCTCATTCCTACTTTATTTTAGCACAAATTACAATATAGAATTGTTTCTCCCCTCTAGCAGTAGTGCAGCATTCCTGGAGAAACTTAGCTGCTTATATAGCAACAGCACAAGGAGAGGAAGGGGTGTTTTAAAGCAAAATCTCTCTTTCAAAAGGATTTTTATAACATACATACACAAACTCCCACGGTTTTAGATTGAATGGGCTACCTGCAATTGGCAAAATGAGAAGTTTACGTGCAGACTATCAAACAGTAACGTACTTGTGAGTTTCACATGAGCTGACACAACAAAAACCAACAGATTACTGCAAGTTCTTTCCCTGGTGGAGTGGGAAGTAATGCTACTACTTTTGCATAACAAATATCCTCTTTACAGGTGACACTGCTACACAGAACAGCAGCAAACCATCATCACCACTGCTGTATTATCCCCAAACGCTGACATGAAGTTAAAATACCTAAATTGCTTAGCACCCATCCTATGCTATTGCTACTTTAAAAACAAATACAAAGACATTTCCTAACACCAAGATCACAACAGGCAGAGATTCCAGTTAATGTACAAGCCACGTGGACTTGGAATTTCCTCCACCTTGTTAGC